CTGATTTTTCTGTGGAGGGTCATGTCAAGCTAATAATTGGTTCATTTTGTAGGACAATGCCTCTACTTATTAAGCTAACTCTAGGTTTTGCCCTACCTCATAAATGCCCCCTCTTTTCGGGGGCTCCAACTACTAGTTGCCGGACTTGTCGAGCTACGGAGGCGTGGTGAAGGGAATTATCACTTAGGTTCTCAAATAATTGCCATGCCTCAATGTCATTTTTGGACATGAATGTCCCACCACAAGAAGAATCCACCATTTGGCGGTGAGGCTCAATTAAGCCATAGTAAAAGGTTTGAACAAGTTGCTAATCAAGCACTTGGTGGTGGGTCACTGTTGGAGAAGATCATGAAGTCTTTCCCATGTTTCACGAAATTTCTCTCCATCAATTTGAGCAAAATTGGTGATGACTCGCCTGAGTTGGTTGGTCTTACCAATGGGAAAGTACTTCTCCAAAAACTTCTGTTGTAAATAGTCCCATGTTGTGATAGAATTAGCAAGTAAGGAGTTTAGCCAATATTTGGCTTTGTCCTTTAGTGAAAATGGGAACAATCGCAATATTAAGGCCTTATTGGTGAAATTTTAGATCCACACTATAGAGCAAATTTCCAAAAATTCATGCAAATGTTTGCAAGGGTCATCATGAGCTAGTCCATGAAACGATGGGAACATTTGGATAGCGCTGGACTTAATCTCATAATGAGCAGCAGTAGAGCCTGGTAACTGAATGTATGATGGTGATGTATATGCAATGGGTGTGAAGTAATCCTTAAGAGTCCGGTTGGGCCCATTTAGGCCATTCGAGTTCGCCATCTCTATTGGTTCGAAGTATGAATATGGATATTCAAGCCTAGGAACACAAGAAAAGGCTCTAAGTTTCCTAAGAATCCTTTCTAGTTCAAGGTCCAAACTCCATAATTCAGGGCGACAAGAATGACGCCCGTGCATACACCCCTCACACACACAGCGGTTTAATGAAAACGCTTTACTTGTCTTGCAGGTACTTGACGTGTAGACCGTTGTCTCCAACCCCCACTTGAGCTCTTTCTTTCTTTTTAGTACTTTGGAGCTTTGCTTATGAGTATATGCTTTTTTCTTCTTCTTTTGTTAAATCACTTTAGTGCTGCGGTTTGTTTTTAAAGCTCGATTGCGATCTGCTTGTACTTCGGTGATAGCTCTACTTGCAAAGACTCTGCACACTTAGCAACACTAAAATTTAAAATCCTAAACTAAAAATTAAAATAAGAATGTAACTTTAAATTAATTAATTTCGCCAAAAGTCCCCAGCAACGGCGCCAAAATTTGATGGGTCGTTTCACACACCAAAAATAAACACTAAACTATACCAAATTCCTTAAAATAACGGTAAGTCCAAGTATCGATCCACAGTGTCAAACGGGAAATTATACTAATTTAATTGTTAAATTCCTAAATTAATTTTGATAAAAATGATTAAAAGTAGGGTTTGAGATACTGATTTTTGGAAAAATCTTAGGGCAAAGAATTCACCACTAATCACATAAATAAGACTTAATATCGGCCATCAATTGCAATCCGGTTTGAACTACCCAATATTTCACAACTTCAAGTTTGAAACATTGAACAAGAGGATTGTCGCATTCAACGTACAGGCACGAATCATCCCAAGTAGCACGAGTCGTTTGCTCTAAACTATAGTAGCAACGTGACCCGTCTCTCGTGGCATGACTCGTCTCATATTTTGAACACAAACACTAAGAAAACTAATGTATGGAAAGCATTAAACAATCACAGAGAATAAAATACTTGAAGAGATTAAAAGAAAAATTATTATAAACTTCTAAAACATCCATACATTTATTCAAACCATTTCACAATCAAAGCCTAAGAAAATCTCTTTACATGGCTAGGTTCATCAAAACCCTAAAAATAGTAGCCTAGCCACTCATGGAAAAGTGGGAAGAGGTGGAAGAAAAAGAAGCCACCATGAGAGCCATTCTTCAAACTTAAAGTTCTTTTTCTTCCAAACCCTACCCTCTCTCTCCATTTTCTCTGAAATATTTTTGAACCTGATTATAGCCTATTTTTTCTCCTTTTTATTCCCAGCAGAAAAGCCTTAAATTTTCACGCACCCTAGGTGGGCCGCTCGAATGGTGGTGGGCCGCACATGCGGTGAGGTGGTAGGTTGGGACTTTTGACTACTCGCACCAAGAATCTACTTTTACGCCATGTTTTGCTTGAATTTGCGTATTGACTGTCAAATCTGTACAAGTGCACAAAACATGTCATCTCCACCAAATAAATAAAATTCAAAGACTATAAATGTAACATAAGCGGCCTCAATGTCATACCTCTCAGCCTACATCAATACCCTAACCCCAAATCCAAAATCCAAACCCTAACCTTAACCTTAACCCTAATTCCATCCTCACCACCTCTGACAGTTACCACTACCTTCGACTGTCACCTCCAACAGTCATCTTCTTATTCTTGTTCTTGTTCTTCTTCTTCCGACAACTCCTAAACCAACCACCATTGTTACATCCTTCTCTCTGCCGCCCTCTTCCTAGCCCAATTGATGAATCCATCGTGTGACCACCGTCATGGTTTCCCACTACTGGTGGACGTTCTCCCACCACTCAAATCTCCCATCTTTGTCACTAGTCTGTCATAGCGCTTACTCGCAACCCTCACAGATTGCGAGAGACAAAGAGACAGAGAGCGAGTGAGTAGGTAGGGATAGGCTGAGAAGTGGCTAAGAAGTGGAAGATGACGAGGCTGTGGAAATGGCAGTAGGGCAACGGAGATGACAGGGAGAGTCGCTATGGCAATGCAACGACAACAGCTCAAACCAGGTTCGATCTCAGTCGGTTTACCCATAAAAACAACTACATCGAAATTGTTTTCCGGTACCAACTCAGCTGGAGATCGGCAGAGAGCGCAAGTGGAGTAGAAGTGGTGGTTGTTGCGGTAAGAGGTGGTCGGAGATGGTGGTAACTACTAGAGATGATAACAGTTAGAGTTAGGGTTTGAAAAATTAAGGTTAGAAGGTTAGGAATTAGAGTAAAAGTGGAATTGTAGGTTGGCACAATTTTGGAATTACAAAAAAATTTTAAAAAAAATAGATGAGGTGGCAGTTTTAAGAAGAAAGGTAAGAATTAATAGCAATACTCTAAGGTCATGTTTGATTCACAAGATTAATAGTGAAGTATTAATAATCTTATTAAATTAGTGTGGTATTCACTATCCAATTGGATTAATATCCATTGGATTAATAATCCACCCCTACCCCATTACTAATAATCCTACAAATTTGTTGAATTAATTATCCATTGGATTAATAATCCTAAACTAAAATGTTAAAACAAATATAGGATAATTGGGCCTACAGATTAATAATCCCAATCCCATACTCTAATCCACCCAATCAAACATGCCCTAAAAGAAAAGATAAAATAAAACATTTTCACATTTTTGCATACTCTCTAAAGGTAAGAATTAATAGCAATACTCTAAAAGAAAAGATAAAATAAAACATTTTCACATTTTTGCATACTCTCTCAACTGCTCTTTTGCTTAGACCTCTTTATTTACTTTTTGCTTCTTTCCCTCTTACGATGGGCAATTTTAATAATTTCTATTTACACACCATGTAAATTTTTAGTACACACCACATATAGTGTTTAGATATAAATTTTTAAATGAGAGTCAAATATTCGGATATAAATTTATGAACATAAAGCAGTTGTTCCAATATAAATAATTGAACGGAATATATATTTGAACAATGTACTTTTGTTAATAATTTTAAATCCGAACATTTGACATTTGTTCAAAAAAATTTATATCTAAACATCATTTATAGTGTGTGCGGAGATTTCTTATGTTATGCAAATAGAATTTCCCTTTGATAATTGATTCAGATTGATAAGTTTAACTGCAAACCAAGACCAATATATTATCTGTGGTTCTATTAAATTTGAAACCAAACCAATTTATGAAAATCTTAGAGTCAATCCGAACCAAACCTCTAAACTATGGTTCAATTTGGTTTAGAACCGCAAATTTTAAAAATATTATAAGTATTCATAATATAAATCACAAAATATTATTCACAACTTAAAAATTACTTATATGATTGTTTAAAAGTAATTCTATCACCATACAAAACTATACTTAATAGTAAAAAGTTATAATATATATATATATATATATTTGATACTAATAAAATATTTTAATATTTATATTCAATAACAAATTATATATATAATTTAAACAATCCAATTCGGTTTCAATTAAATTCATAACTATAAAATCACGAACCAAACCGTAAAATCTGGTTAGCCTATTTAAAAGGCCGAAACCAAACTATGAATCGAAAAAACCAAACCAAACCGTGCAATTTAATTTAGATCAAACACGTTTTATATTTTTTTTTTAATTTTTCTGCTCAGCCGTAATAACCGTGCAATTTAATTTAGATCAAACACGTTTTATATATTTTTTTTAATTTTTCTGCTCAGCCGTAATAATTTGTACAAAAATTGCATAGTAATAACAATAATAATAATATAAAATAATTTTAGTGAGAATAGATGAAAGCAATATCTCATTAACGGCTCTGCTGCAAAGTAATCATTTGGTTTCAAAAAAATTGAATTTTTTATTTTTTATTTTTTATTTTTAATAAAAAAAATTTAATATTTTAAGAAAAAATTAATTTTTTAAATACACCTAACCTAACTACACTTAAAAATATAACATCTATGAAAAAATATTTTAAAATTCAATACATTTTCATATTTTTTTTTTTGCATATATTGAATTTTTAAATATTTTTTTACAAATATTTTACTTTTTAAATATATTTAGATTATGTACATTTAGAAAGTAAAAAATTTATCGTTCAAAATAAAAAGTAAAAAATTTACTTAAAATATTAAAAAATAAAAATTTTAATTTTAAAAAAATCAATCAAAACCTGAATAATATTCTATCCATGAAGGTTTGTTGAAAGAATGCTTAACTATTCTCATTTTTATTATTATTCGCAACCAACTAAGAATTATCTAAAATATACAGAACTCTGTATTTCACCCTGTAAGATGAGCTACAGGAAAAGCACGTATGTCAATATGCAACTACTGAAAATAAAAATAAAATAAAAAATAAAAAAACTGTTACACAACAAAAAACACCTACAATAGAATAAAAATTGAGCGAAAAAAATAAAAAATGGTATTTCTATGTTACTATGCCCACTTGCTGGCCGCTGCCAAAATGCCTTCTTTCCCCCATTGCGCAAGGTAAACAGCAGCCAAATGCATCCTTGGTGGTGGTATGCTGAAAGCCAAAAACTAGAAACTAATTGTATTTTGACTGTCTGTTGGGGCAACACACTGCCACAAGGAACGGTATGCAGGAATTTTTGCCACTTCAACCCCAAGCGCAGAGAGGTTGCGCCCATATTCCTTTTCAATAAAACGAATAGCCAAAATATAATCACAACAGTCTTGAAAATAAATAATAAAAAAAATTTTAAAAAAAGCAGAAAATAAAATCACAACTGTGAAAAATCTTCCAATCAACCACCCATTGATGACTCCAAGACTTGAACACAAAAACACAAACAGGAATGTGCATCCACACACAGCCACACACTAAGATTTGTACGAGGATGAGGCTAACCTGAATATCAAGAAATAATTGCATACAGATCTTATCAGTATTGGACACATTATTTTCAGAGACATCAGAGCTTGCTCCACCTCGCCTTTGTGCACCCTGACGAATTCTCTGAAGTGAAGAGTCCGTTTTCTTTGCCTGGTCAACATGTTTGAAAGCTTTTAAATCAAGATTGTCTAAGATAAAAGATTGCTGACAAAAAAAAGTAGAAATCTCAGAAGAGTAGATATTGTGATCTTCATACTAACCAAACTAACAAGATCCGCAACTAATTCATGATAATGACCAGTTATCTCAAAAGCAGCACCATGTAAGAGTTCATCCCTAATATCCCTCATCAAATACGTGTTAGCTCGCTCTCCGTCCAAAAACGCCTGGAAACAGGGAGTGTTTCAACACATGTTTCAATATCTCAAAGTAATCAAGTTGATAAATATGACCACACAAGTGCACACTATATAGAGGGTTAAGATATCCGCAAACGGAATAAAAATTTCTTTTCAACAGCAAAAAGTTTCCAAACAGGGGCTGAACATGCAAAAATTAATTGAAAGGAAGATCATGAGCATGCGAATAAGGGTGCACACACTGCGAGGGCTATAAAAAAAATTACTACAGAACTTTTCATATGTTAATGAAAGGAAATCAATTGTTCAAAGAAGGGTGTCACGTCTGCAATGGGAACCCTTTTTGAAGAGTTTGTTTGTTAAAAACCAGAAATGTGTAGTTTGGCAAACAACTTCAACTTAACTTCAATCAGATTTTTTCGGCAACCACGGATTACTTATCCTAAAAAAAATTGGGGCAAACTACACTGACCTCTACTGAAAATTGTCCAAATTACAGTTAACCTTAGTATGAAGAAACGAGACTCAGCTCACCAAATGGGTCTCAAACGTTCTCTATTAACGGGTGTCATGAAATGGCAAAAATGTCCTTGGCCCTATGAACCCCACTGCCAACTCCTTTCTCACTCTCCCTCTTCAATCTCTCAGACATCACTCAGTCTCTCTTTCTCTCCGTTAAAATCGCAAACTCATAGATCCTCGATTTTAAAATCACAATCTCTTTCACCAATCAACTTTCTGCTACCACTATGACCATGACTACTATATATAGGCACCCCCATAGATCCTTGATTTTCAAGGTGTTTCAAAGAAATGACACTGACCATCATTTGAAACCCAAACAAAATCCCCAAAATTCTAGCAATTTGGTGACTTTAATGATCTGCATTGGTTTGCACTTTCACAACATCAATGGATACAAGACTAGACGTTAATCGCAACAAGAGTATGAGCATCGATGGCGTAGGTGTTGATCCGGTAGTGGCAGGTTTGTATGTGATGGTGGCCATGTCGGTGGGTGGGTGAGATATGATAGAGGTGGAGAAGAAAGAGAGGGACGGTGGTAGTTGTAATACCACGAGTATTAGATTCTAGTTTAACACACAAACACGGGTTCATCGACACAGTTCAAGATCATTGATGCATTAAACTATGTCTTGTTATTGTTATTACTGTTGTAGAAATTGGGGACGTTTTACTCTTAAATGGATTTTGATTGTTGATGGTTGAATCCCGGGACATAAACTTGAGGCGTAGAAACCTCCACAATTTTCTGAATCTAACAGGTGCCACTGCACATGCAGTGGGTATTCCCGCACGTGCAGATCCATGCAATGAAGGTGGACAATTCTGGGAGAATTTCCACAGGTGCGACCTTGGGCCCCCCATGTGCGGCAGGCACATTCCGCATGTGCGGCTTTGGGTCCCGCACATGCGGCAAAATGTGTTTTCAACTTTGAAAATTGACCCATTTTCATCGAATTTGACCCCAAAACTCCTTTCTCTCTCATTTCTTTTAACTCACCTCTCTGCACCAAATCTTCTCTTCCTTCTTTCTACACTCCCCCAAAACTTCTATCCAAGGTTAGATTTCATCTAGTTAGGGCAAGATTTTGAGCATAGTTCTTGAGGCAAATTGAAGAACAAATCAAGGGCTTCCTAGCTACCAAAGAAATCTTGATTTTGGGCAACCTAACGCTCTTGGGCTTTCTTCTCTTCTCAAGATAGAGGTAGGGGTTTCTAGCTTTGGTTCAATATATGTTTATTTGTTGATGTGTGGTAAGAATTTGTGTTAAAATGTCAAAGGTTTTTCTCATATGCATGAGGGAGGGTTTTCTTGAAAACAAAATTGTGTCCTATCTCTACAATTCTTCAATAAATATTTGAGAGGTAAAGTAAATAATGAAGTTGACAAGGGGGAAAGAAAAGCCCCAAATTTTCTAGGAAAAAAAACCCTATGTCTTTCTCATATTTGTTTCAAAAGGTGAAAAACTTAGAACTCTTAATTGTTTGTAAGTATGGGGTTAGATTTGATCTTATTATTCTCTAAATATAGAAATGATTGTAAAAATGTTGGTATTGAAGATTTTCTTGAGTTAAGAAAATCATATAACTTTGATTTGGATGCCTTGTCTTTAAATTGTGAGACTGCTATTGAATGTTAAAAAAAAAAAAAATTAAGTTGAATGTTTGTGCAACGAGTTATTCTTGGGATTTATGGAGAAATTCATCTTGTTATTTATCTATTGATGATATTGAATTGGGGAATTATCTTTGGTTTGAATAATGAATCTGGGTAGTATGAATTTGAGAATTAAGGTGGCGAGAGTGTCCATGTGAAAGACTAAAAACCCGCGCGAGAATAGGTACTATGTGCCTCTGCCTAGCAACCGGTTAAATGGGGGAGTTTTGGTGGTTACTAGTTGAGTACCACTGGCAGAGACTAGCCTAGGATTCATTATGTATATGTTGATGGTTTAATTCAATGAAGATAATTGATTGTGTTGAATTTCAAGAATGTTGTGTATGTTCAATTATGTTGTGTATGCTAAACTCTCATTGAAACTATTATATGTATGACTTGCATCATGATCATGTTCAATATTTATGCATATTGCTCTAGTATAAAAATCTCTACTAGACTTTGGTTCACCCTTTGTAGACAAACTTTTCAGATTCAGATGGCATGCCACTATCTCGTTCATGACTTGAAGAGTCGTTGAGCTAGTGTAACCCTTGTTTTTGTGATTTTTGTGTAATCGGCTTAGGCCCTTTTGATGTAATTAATTTAGTATACTTTCGAACACTTAATTGATGGAGGGAATACCCTCTTATTTTGTGTAAAGCCTTAGGGCAGTTGACTTCTTTTGATGGTGTAGTTGATGTAGGATACATGTTCCATATTCATGTTATGTAGGAACATGAATATGGTGGCATGTGTACCTTTTCGTATCCTTTTATTGTGGGTGTGATAATGTATGAATTCGGAGCGCGAAACTCTTAGACTTCCATCGTGTAATTATCGACTTATCCTTCTTTCTTCCATTTCAATTTATGTTCTTATTTCTTGTATGCTTAAATGTCCAATCTTTGTCTATAATTTCAGGGTGTGACAGTGGGTTTGGCACTGGTGGTGCCATGGAGATAGCTATCGAGGTGGTGGAGCTTTTGAATGGTGGGGTGTGGTGCTGTGGCAGTGATGGAGGCAAAAGTAGTGGTGTTGTGTGGTAGTGGTGAGAGAAAAATGAGAGAATATAATGATATCCTATTTTTAAGGTGACGGTTTAGACAACTTAAAAATGGGTATCGAATTGTACCCACATCGATAATCAAGGGTAAATTGGGTATTTTATTGTTAAAAATAATGATTTCATCATTTTCCATCCATATGCTTAACAGCAAGGGGTAAAGTGTTGAGTGAATTTAAAAGAGGAGGCCAGTGTCATTTTCTCATATTAATGGGGTCAACTGTAATATAAGTAATTGACATTGTCCACAAATCTCACAAATCTGTAATTGTCAGAGAGAGTATCAATTTTGAAAAAGAAAAGTTTGATTTAAATTTGACAGCAAGATCCATTATGAATAAAATGAAGGAATTAATACAGTAATTATTTCTCTTGAAAGTTGTCTAAACCATCAACTAGTTCGCCCATATTTTGTACCCTCCATCACAGCTGTGTATCATGTGTTTCTTAGCACGATGAATCAAAATAAACAAATATGTGAGACATTATATATTTATGCCTTGGAACTATTATCCAAGTCAAGCAGCGCACTCCAAACTCTAGGCACTTGTCCACTTAACATAGTAATAAACAGCTTTTACTTCACAAAACCAAAAGGTGCTGGCCATTATCCAGTATCAGTATCATAAAATCCTACCCTCTAGACCATGACTCCAATAGCTATTAGCCCCGTTTGGTAACACTTACACTTCAACTTATTCAGCTTATTTTCTAAAAAACATAAACTACTGGTGTTTGGTTGCAATTTTAAAAAATAACTTATTTGGCCAAAAAAGTGAGCTTTTTTAAGCTACAACTCCTTGTTTTTTTAAACTAATGGCCCTGATTATAACTTTTGAAGGCATTCTGGATATTTTTACACAACCAAAAAGCTATGTGATAGCTTACTTATCCATACAGGTTCAACTTTTTAACAGATTATCAAAAGTTGTACTAAACAGATTTATTACTTATTTTAATTCTTTTAAGCTAATGATCTAAAAAGCTAGCTTATGGGTGATACCAAATGGGACCATTGTATAAGGGCATGACACCACAGTAATTGTATCCAAATTAAAGTGCCATGCTTCTATAACCAAGTAAATCACTTTATAATAAAACATTACAGAAGTCTGATATCAAGGTTGCATCATTTAAATTACAACAGTGCAGCTGACGGGAAGCAAAATGATGCTTTCCGATGGAAGGATCCATGCATTTGTAGAAAAATAAATGGTAACATCATTTGCCATTGAACCAGAGGCATCCACACAAATAAATCTTACATTCAAAACTGAGAAAAAAGTGATATAAAATATACAACGCAGACTACTTACCTTTAAAGGATGTAGTACACCTGACACGTATGGTGAATGCCTAACAGGAAGAGGCTTATTAGTCATCCTGTAAGTCGCAGTTATTCCCTTCAACTGTTTCAAGGCCTAAAATATTTTTGAACAAAATATATTAAAGACAAATTAGGGTGCAGAAACATGGATGATCAATGACAACTTTGGAAGAACCCAAGTAGAATTGCCAGGTCTTCACAGCATTCCCACATTTAACAAAAAGAATCAGATCTTCATAGCATGCCTCCATATATTTTTCATTGCATAATAATTAAAACAGAACCTTCTACAAAGTATGTAGCTTACCTCAACAGACTTCTTAACTACTGCTTCTATTATTGAATTCATCACAATAGGTATAAGATCCTTTAGAGATTTTGCACCCTGTAAAATGCTTTGCTCTACAAGCTCAAGTACTTCAGTGGAGCATGAACTTAGAAGCCCAATTACATGTCGCAAGAAATCACTGCAAATCTCTGCTACTAGACAATTTAAATCATGAATTATCTGCAACACATGAAATCCATTAACATGCAGCTAAGCATAATTATCTACCGAATATGTTGGTTGTGTTGTATTGAATTGAAATATATTAATATTTGTCTTTTAGTTTTATAATTCTCTTTTTAGTTTTGATATTTAATTTCAATTTCTAGGTTGGATCTTCTCACCATAATTATAAAAAATAAAAAAATAATAAAAAATATCGGCGTACCGCAGCCGTACCCGTATCCTACTTTTTTGGAATTTTGCCGTATCGGCGTACCCGCACTCGTACCCGTACCGTACTCGTACCCGCACCCGTGCTTCATAGATGGTTGGGTGTGGTGCTGTGGCAGTGATGGAGGCAAAAGTAGTGGTGTTGTGTGGTAATGGTGAGAGAAAAATGAGAGAATATAATGATATCCTATTTTTAAGGTGACGGTTTAGACAACTTAAAAATGGGTATCGAATTGTACCCACATGGATAATCAAGGGTAAATTGGGTATTTTATTGTTAAAAATAATGATTTCATCATTTTCCATCCATATGCTTAACAGCAAGGGGTAAAGTGTTGAGTGAATTTAAAAGAGGAGGCCAGTGTCATTTTCTCATATTAATGGGGTCAACTGTAACATAAGTAATTGACATTGTCCACAAATCTCACAAATCTGTAATTGTCAGAGAGAGTATCAATTTTGAAAAAGAAAAGTTTGATTTAAATTTGACAGCAAGATCCATTATGAATAAAATGAAGGAATTAATACAGTAATTATTTCTCTTGAAAGTTGTCTAAACCATCAACTAGTTCGCCCATAATTTGTACCCTCCATCACAGCTGTGTATCATGTGTTTCTTAGCACGATGAATCAAAATAAACAAATATGTGAGACATTATATATTTATGCCTTGGAACTATTATCCAAGTCAAGCAGCGCACTCCAAACTCTAGGCACTTGTCCACTTAAGATAGTAATAAACAGCTTTTACTTCACAAAACCAAAAGGTGCTGGCCATTATCCAGTATCAGTATCATAAAATCCTACCCTCTAGACCATGACTCCAATAGCTATTAGCCCCGTTTGGTAACACTTACACTTCAACTTATTCAGCTTATTTTCTAAAAAACATAAACTACTGGTGTTTGGTTGCAATTTTAAAAAATAACTTATTTGGCCAAAAAAGTGAGCTTTTTTAAGCTACAACTCCTTGTTCTTTTGAAGGCATTCTGGATATTTTTACACAACCAAAAAGCTATGTGATAGCTTACTTATCCATACAGGTTCAACTTTTTAACAGATTATAAAAAGTTGTACTAAACAGATTTATTACTTATTTTAATTCTTTTAAGCTAATGATCTAAAAAGCTAGCTTATGGGTGATACCAAATGGGACCATTGTATAAGGGCATGACACCACAGTAATTGTATCCAAATTAAAGTGCCATGCTTCTATAACCAAGTAAATCACTTCATAATAAAACATTACAGAAGTCTGATATCAAGGTTGCACCATTTAAATTACAACAGTGCAGCTGAAGGGAAGCAAAATGATGCTTTCCGATGGAAGGATCCATGTATTTGTAGAAAAATAAATGGTAACATCATTTGCCATTGAACCAGAGGCATCCACACAAATAAATCTTACATTCAAAACTGAGAAAAAAGTGATATAAAATATACAACGCAGACTACTTACCTTTAAAGGATGTAGTACACCTGACACGTATGGTGAATGCCTAACAGGAAGAGGCTTATTAGTCATCCTGTAAGTCGCAGTTATTCCCTTCAACTGTTTCAAGTCCTAAAATATTTTCGAACAAAATATATTAAAGACAAATTAGGGTGCAGAAACATGGATGATCAATGACAACTTTGGAAGAACCCAAGTAGAATTGCCAGGTCTTCACAGCATTCCCACATTTAACAAAAAGAATCAGATCTTCATAGCATGCCTCCATAAATTTTTCATTGCATAATAATTAAAACAGAACCTTCTACAAAGTATGTAGCTTACCTCAACAGACTTCTTAACTACTGCTTCTATTATTGAATTCATCACAATAGGTATAAGATCCTTTAGAGATTTTGCACCCTGTAAAATGCTTTGCTCTACAAGCTCAAGTACTTCAGTGGAGCATGAACTTAGAAGCCCAATTACATGTCGCAAGAAATCACTGCAAATCTCTGCTACTAGACAATTTAAATCATGAATTATCTGCAACACATGAAATCCATTAACATGCAGCTAAGCATAATTATCTACCGAATATGGCATCAATTAGGCTGCCAACATTTCTCGTCACAAAGATGCGTAAGACCTTTAAATAAGGCAGCAAATAAAATGGGGCTTGTCAAAGTATGCAAAAATAAGAGCTCTTATAGAACACCATAATCCAGGAGAAAGTAAAAAATAAAATAAAATAATTGCATAAAATCTGGACATAAAAGTCAATGTAAATGAAAGTCGAGACAAGGATTTATGCCAATTATAACCCAATTAATCATAATTGTGTGGCTCAACCTAAGGCAAGCTTTTATTTGTGTGAATAAAATTAACAACAGTATTGTTGCCGAGAGGAGTAGATGGATCCATACTAACACTAGCACAAAACTGGGAAATATAAAGTTAACACCAAAATGCCATTAATTTGCATCTGCGACCTTGCAGCTCACAATATGGCAGTCAGGTTTAATTAGCAACAAGCAATGCCTATGAGGCAGCCGCATGTACAGGAATATTGAAGCACAGGACGTGATATAATATAAGGTGATTACAGTTGATTGCCAAAAGGCAAACAGGGGTTTGACCATAACAAGAACACCTAAGGCAACAAGTAAAGACTAGTTGAAACACAGAATGCAATATAAGGTGACTACTACTTGTTCGCAAACAGAAATCAAGGGTTTGATCACCAAGAAACTATCGCTACAAGGATACAACTGAGTATATTTAAAGTGTAATTGGACTAAAAAGCTAAAGATCAACTAACAAACTCAGAAGAGGCTATCATCTCAGAGAGAGAGAGAGAGCTCTTTTTGTACGTCCATCGTTGGCGGAGTTTACATGATTGGATGGTGGATCATAAGATCCTACCGAAAAAAGAAAAGAAAAATTCATAATAATTACATCATGAATTAAATTTTTTTAGTAGACACAGAATGAGCCTAAATTATACACACACACACACACAAAGTAGAAAATATTATGGAAAAAAATAAACCAAATAAATATAAACATTATATAATACAGACCTTGATGTAAAAGTTTTACATTTCATGAAAAAAAAATTAGAGGTGGAGAAGAAGAGCTTTGTAATAGAGCATTTTTTATGGTTTTTTTTGGGGTACATTTACATTGGAGGTCAATGGCAAAAAAGAAAAGGTGAAAAATAAATAAACAGAGCTTGCTTTAGAAATAGATTGACAAGAGAGAGAAATAAAAGAAAAATAGACCTTTATACACAGTAAAAAAAAATCTGAGGTAATTGCATTTTGAAGTAGCAATAAATTAAACAAAGAACAACAAAGAAAAAACGAATTTTGTAAAAAAAAAAGAAAAAATATTTTGATTCGTGAAGAGGAAAAAGGAAAAGAGCCGGAAAAGGCGTCAAACAAGAGGTTTGTCGTTAATGTACAATTGTGAAGAAAAAGAAGAAAAGCAAATATAAACATGAAAATGATACTCTAAGAAATCGAAGGGAAAAAAAAAAGAAAAGAAAAGAAAAGAGAGAATTAAAAAAAATAAATAAATAAATAGATCTAAGGCTATTTGATTAAATGGATAAAACAAAAAAAAGGCAGAGGAAAAGCAATAAAATGAAAGGTTATGCAAGATTATGGAATGAGAGAGAGAGAGAGAGGAGTAGGTTAGAGAGGGAGATGGAGATGATTGGATTGTATCCATGTTCCTTTAGCTCTTTAGTTTCCCGGATCGCAGTGACGTATGAATGCCAATTGCCCTAATTTGTTTTTGAGTCTATTTGATTTAACTTCACTTAATTTTTATTTTGTTTGGACCTAGTTTAAAATGAGTATTAAGGCCACAAACAAAAAATAACAAAAAGCCAACAAAGTAAACAAGACAAGGCCTAAAAAATGGATAAGGTAAGAACAGGGCCCAAATTGGAATTGCATGATCCACAATATCCAGCCACCAAAATTGTGTGACCCTACTGTGAAGCGAAGTCCCACATTGCCTAAGTACTAAAGTAATGTTAAGCATATAAGCGTGAGGGCACCCTCACCTCAATAGCTAGCTTTTGGGATTAAGTTCCACCCAATACCATGTAACACCTACCTCCAAGGGATTTTCTACACAATCAAAAATTATTTTTCTAAAACCAATCGTAACAGATCGGGATTGTAACAACCATATAAAGAACATATAATCATATGCATCACGGCCCCTCGTATATTTCCATTTGTAGGCCACATCATCAGGCTGAAGCAATAAGATAATTTGCTAGGTTCAGCTTTGACAAATGCTTATCACAATCATATCCTGAAAACAAATGAACAGTCACTTCTGCCACATGCTTTCTCTGGAACTGGAAGATACATCCTTTGACTGTCTACCAAAGTTACTAGATAGTCTAGTATTTTCCAAGACCTTATCATGTTACTTTATTTATTAGTATAGATTAGGTGCAAGTCATGAAGTATATCTCTAATTTTGTGCCAGCATAGAAGCAACTTTTTCTACTATAGCTGAAGAATTTTCATTTGCATGATTCACAGTTTGAATACCAAAAAGATATTGATCTCATGAATATTTTTGCATCAAATGGTCTTCAGTCCTAAAATGATTTGCCAATAACAAATAATATCAACCAACAAAACAATATTGTCATTGGCAAAATGTCTACAGAGAAAAATCAGGAAAGAAGAAGACCATGAATAAGCTCATTCCAAAGGAAGAAAGTATATTATGGTAAAATCTAGAAACAATACATACATAAACAAAATCATCTGGAACAGCAGAAATAGCCCATTCAGAACCAGGATTGGAACCTTCATTACCAGCTTTGCGAGCAGCCAATCCAGATGACAACCAATTGGAGTACCTATAAGCATAATGTAGTCACATATTTCAACATGTCAGCAAATTAGTCCAACACATGGAAAATGCAACTGCAAAGTTCCAAATACAAACTCACCGAGAAAGAAGCTGTAAAGACAAGCGAAAGAACTTGTCAGAGAAAGAAAGAACAACAACATCTTCTCTCCAGCAGGACTTCAAGCATTCCAAAAGAGTAACACTTGGTTTTAATGTTAAATCTTGAGAATTTCTTCTCTCTGAGTGTGAGGTTTGAATTGGGACAAGGCTAGCACCTGCAAGTGCAGAATCTAAAGCCCCAGCTATTTCCTGGAACCTGAGGTAAATTTAAATTATATCAGTCAGTCAGTCATGTCTTTCCTCTTTCCTCCTTTCTTCTTTCCTTTGGGGGGAGTAGAGGAGTACAATTGGGGAGCTTCTATTTACACACACTAAATCTCCTTTATACACACACTTAATAAAGAGAGTGTGTAAAAAGTGTAGTGAGGGGATGTGTAAAAAGTGTATATTGTGTGTGTAAATAGAAGCTCCCGTACAATTGCAGCGCTAAATTGTAATTTACACAGTTTTGATATTAACAAGAACCATCAAAGAACAGCATTGAGTACCTCAATGAGAAATAGACTCCAACATTCCACTGCTTCATGAACTCAACGTAGACAGCCTCAGCTCGAAATTTGGCAACAGCAGATCTGGATGGGCAATAGCCTTACATGACAAATGGATGTTATAAACAGGAATTAACAACATATAAGCACAAAACAAGGTGATCATTAGCAGTCGAAAATGTAAATACAGACAGTACAGAAGTAAGTCTTGCAACTATCTTCTAAATCCAGACTCAAAATAAAATAGAAAAAAAAAAATGAAGAAGAAGAAGAAGAAAAGAAAAGAAAAGAAAAAAAACTCTACCTTCTAAATGAGCCAAGAAATCTAGGCTTGATTTGCAATTTTTCAGAAATTCTGTAGGTCTTCCAGGTGAAAAGGCCCATGGTCTTCCCCTTTGGATTGCTGAGAGAACCTCTATAAGGATTGAATTGGAAAGGAAGCTAAAAACATGTAAACCTGAATTTTCTGCATACATCAAACAGTACAACAATTTCATAAATATGGGGGGAAAAAACTAGCAAATTAACATTAAGTCAAATGTAAGAGCATCCCATTTGTCATTTCAGAATATGCTGCAGAAATCCAATTTTCTTCATATGGATTGGATCTATCATCCAAATGAAGGGAAGATTAAGAAAGAAAATGATGAATGAAGAAGAAAAAGGATGAATGGACAGAGAAAGGGTTTTGCTCATTGGTGTAATTATCAAATCCATCAAATAAATAGGGAACAAAAGGAAAATTTGGAAGAACATAAAGCCATCCATGCTTTATTTACAAAAGATCTAGGGCAGTCAAGATGCAACACAAAATGGCCAGATGACAAAGCAAGAAGCTATTAAAATAGAAACCAGTTTATTAAAAGCATAGGCAGCTCACTAAAGCACCAACTGTTAATTTGGTTTAAGAGAAACCTTAGGACTCGAAAAGTGTCGGGTTTTAATGTATGTTTTGGAGTTTAATCCTTTCTAGTCGCATGTAAACAAAAAAATAATAATAATAAGTGAAATCAATGCTTGTAATTGTAATAAACAAACATTTAAAAAAAAAAATGTACAAGTCTTGCACGTTAAGCTTAAGCCTAAAGCGCACACTTCATGTGCCTTTATGGGGCTTGTTTTACATTGGTTGGCTTGAGATGTTCCAAAGCGCACTGACTGCGCCTTGGTCCTAGGCACGCCTTTAATAACACAAATAAAAACTAGGGTAAATTACAAATACATCCCCTGAAGTTTACTTAAAATATGAATTGTCCCCTATGGTCTTAAAAATTACAAATGCCCCATTATCAGAATTTTTTATTTAACAGGATTGACAAAAAAAAAATGAAATTCTTAACTATTCTCTTATACAATAATAAAATTACATAAATTGTTAATTTAAATATAATTTTGACATTATTAAAAACTATTAATTGACTTAACAATTTATTAATAAAATGAGTCATTTGTTATGCAATTAGAAACTTGAAGGGACGGGATGTAATTTCCATGACCACAGGAGGCAATTCGTATTTTAAGAAAACCTCAACAAGTGTATGTGTAATTTACCCTAGAAAATATGATTCTCTGATAAAGGATCCGTTATAAATGTAAGCCTTGGAGCAAAACAAATATCGGTGATTAAACCAACAAAGATTCATATATCAAGAGACACTACTCAAAAGAAAAGCATGATAACGTCATTAGTTTGTGTTTGCATGAAAGAAAAGTATCACCTTTAATAGAAGGTTCAAATAGAATGCAATAGTTGAAGTGCATGTTATGTTGTTTGCATTATTGCATACCTGTAGAGGAAATTTCAAGTAAAAATTTGCAATCTTTCTCTATATATTGCTTGATTTGCTTATAATCCTCTTCAAGTTCATCTCCTGATGCCCCCCCACCAACCACCCCCGATGAACTGTGTGGAATAATTTTCTGAATCAATGGTGCCACAACAGTTGAGCGAAAAATTTCTTCAGCACTCCTGGTGTTATCAATAGCTGCATATGCCCGTAAACAATTGAATATGACATTTGCATCCCTGTGTTCCAGTCTATCTACAAAACAGTGCCCCAAGCTAGCATCCAATAATAGGCTAGCATTTTGTATCCTCTTCTCCATGTTTTCAATAAAAGGCAAGTTCTGTACTGCCATAATATAGAAAAGGAAAATGTGTAAATTATTAATACAACCATTCACAGGTCATTGATTCTTCACATCAGGCAATGTCAACTCAATGCATGCACAAAACCAGCTCAAGCACAAATGAATAAAATAAATAATTATCCACGCAAAAAAGGAATTGATGAACCACAATTCAAGCCATACTACATTCCCAAATTGGACATGCAATGTTTCACTCCAATTAGCCAGTCTGATTGGAAAAGTATTATCTCAACCATTAAGCATTAGTGGCATAAAACAAATCAAATTTGTTTCCATTACCCCCTACAAAAAGAGGCACAAGTTTCCAAAAACAAAATAGTTGCTTTCAAGGAGTGTAGATTACCACCAAAGCAAAGTTGTACAAATTGCCAGCATGGTGAAATAGACAGACAAGCTGAAAACAAACCAGCCCTTAGGGATGTAAGAAAAACCGAAAAAACTGACCAAACCGATTGAACCAGACCAAACCGGCTATATTGTGTCTGTTTTTTAACAAGAATCAGTCTGTGCAGTTTTTAAATTTGATTTTTTTCGGTTTTCGATTTGGTATCGGTTTAAGCACATTGTGCACCGATCCAAACCGAAACCAGCCGCTTCAACATATATTTTATTTATAATATATATATATATAATCTAATAATATAATGATATTAATAAGTATAATAAATTATTAACCTTAATTAATTAACCTTAGCATCTTTATAACCTAAGTTTGTAAACTCTTCTTATATATAATCTTAGCTCTAACTCATTATTCTTAAAACCTTAGTATTTTTAAACTTTTTTTTGTTTTTATTTTTATTAATTTAGGAATTGAAAAGTATGCATTAAATGGATGGATTGGATATGTTTGAAATGGCAGACAAATAACTAATTTAATGTTTTTATATAGATTAGTGGTTATATTTAAAAGTGACTTAAGTTTGAAAAATCCTAAACCGATTAAACCACACCAAACCGAACCGTTTCAATCAGTTCGGTTTAGTACGGTTTAATGGGAGAAGCGGCATGTATCAATGTTCAAAATAATAAAACAAACATTATCGGTTCGGTGTAATTTTTTACCTAAAACCGACCATACCGAACCGATTACATCCCTACCAGCCCTTCTATCACCAAAACAATGGTTTTGGTTGACAATACCAAGATCACCATAAATAGAAAACCTGTTTCATGACTGGAAAGGAAATTAAGATGGGAATTGTAATACAATATCATTGAAAATACACAGATGACAAACAAAGTCGAGTCTAGAGGAAACAAAAACAAATGAACTCCTTGATCTTGAAACTTCTTAGCTCTTGTATACGAAATTCAACAATTTTCACATTTTTTTTTTGACCCCCAAATAGCTCTCGGAAATTTTATTTTGCAAGCAAAAACCCTGCTTCTGGGTTTCAGGCAAGTAATAACTGGATTAACATGTGACTGACAATCAATCCAAGAGCACCTACCAAGAAAGATGAAATAAAATAACGATGATGATGATAATCCAAAACCAACCCAAATGCAAACCTTTAAATTTTTACTTTCTGAAACATTTACATACAATCTTTAATGTTGTTAAGTTCACTGATTGTTTTCTATTGTCCCAAATATAAGTCTGCAATTGACTTTTATTGTCTTAGTTTGGCATCAATGTTAAGTTTTAGTTCAGTTTGTAACTAAGGGTTTAAACTTTGGATGGAACATAGTACTAATTACCAATTGACTTTCAACCATTAGACAATAATTTATAGGATCTTTAGGTAAGAGACTGTGGAGCATAACTTTCACGCAGGAGTACATGTTAAAAAGTAGATGTGCAACACTTTCAGTTTATATACCTCACAGGGTCAGCCTTGACTTTTTGGGGGCCTAAGGCGAACTTAGAAGATGGGCCCTTGGCTCTCATACATATTTTAAAATATATATATATATTGATAAAATAGTATCAATCTTCAATTTATTTTTATTTTTTACCTGTTTCTTCTATAAATTTGTTGCATATGTTACACATAATTATTGACATAAATTTCGAACATTTTCAATTGTTAACACTATAATTTATTCACACTTTTTCCTGACGTAGTAAATTAAATTGTAAAATTTGATTAACTTCAACTTTAAAAAATTTATTTCTGAAGCAATTGTAATTCATATAGTCAAACAATATTCTATAAATAATTCATACATTTGGCAAACAACCATCCATTATTTTTAAATAATTCACCAATCCAATTGTTTGTCTAAACCTTCATTTCTAAACTACTAATACTATAATGTAGTGTTTGGTTCACTAAAATGAAATTGGATTGAATGAAATAGCCGTTCCTTAGTCTCTTTATAAAACTATTACTATTTCCTCACGATGGTGAACGATGATTTCGTTTATAATCTTTTTAGTAAACCAAACGTGAAAATAGACATTATGATAGAATGATTACTCTATTTAACTTTATTTTAATAACCCAAACATAACTTAAGACCAAAATAATTAAACAAAACTTAAGATTGGAATTATTTCGGGGTCTTATTTTTTAGACAGAATTTGGGGGCCCAAGGCAGCAGCTTTGCCCGCCTTACCTCAGAGCCGGCCCTGCTCACAGTGATGCAAATTCTAGGATCTTCTCTGAAAGTTGGTTAATATGGTTCTCGTACTTTTTAAGAAAACATTGTTTCAGCCATTTGCATCCTTTCCTATTTCAATTCCCACAAGGGATGTCAGAAGTGCATACAATGCATTGCGTGTGAACTACATCACATATAATTTCTCTCCTTGCTTGCTAGATGCACATTCTTTTCTGCAGAATGACTACTTCCATCCCTGATAAAGCTAATGTCTCAACTTCTTAGACCATCATGGACGAAAAAATGACTCATTGATGTAGCGCACTGTAGGGGAAAAAAGAGATGAACAAAGGAGAAGAGAGATGAAGAGAACAATGGCCACAACACAAACAAGCATAGCCTATTCAATATCTCATTAAATCAAAAATTCTGCTCACATCAACCTGGAAAGGCTCCTGAACAACACCTGATAGTGGACTTTGAAATATTCTTGATTCAGTATAAGTTTCAGTTCCAAGATGAAACGGTCATAAAGAGTAAAGACTTATAGATGGATGACTCATGAGTCACAGAAACAGAAGGTTTTAAATACATATAGAGAACTATATCGTCAACGAAGATAGTTTAATAACATTATTGCCACATAAAAGATTGAACAAATGTAATAAATGGGATAAGATTGCTGCTGCAAATATTATAACACAAATGTGAGAAAGCTAATGGGGTAGACATGAGTGCAAGAGCAAGATAGACCTGTGCGTGAGTGATGTGGAACTTAAACCGATTCATTTCGCTGGCAATTCTATCCAAAAGCATGCTTTGAGTCTCCCTAATATTTGTTTCATTTTCATTGTGTTGTACGGAGAATCCGTTGCTTAAGTGATCCAGATCCTTCTCTGCAAAATTTACATCGCCATTAGACCAATCAGCAGGCACACTAGGCAGCTCCTTTATCAGTTTCTCAACCTGCATTTTAAAATAGATATATAAAGTCACCACAATACAATGTAAATAAACTAATGGATTCCTAGAATAACTAAAATTTGAAGCATAAAGCTTGCAAATGCAATTTTTTTTTTTTTTTTTTTTTTTTTTTTTTTGAAATGGCGTTTCTACTACCAACCAAAGCCAACCCACACAATGACACACACACCAATGGCCATTTTTTGGGGGGGGGGGGTTTGTATGTACAGGGTCCAGGGGATGTATTCCCCTTTGTGTAATGAATTTAATTTTACCACGAAAAAAAATTTAGCGAGAGAGAAGGATCTTCTTATTGATATGAAACCGTAGGTTGAAAAAATAAAAATAAATTAAAAAAATTAAAACCTTGAATTTTGAATATTAGAAATTGTTGGAATAGTGTACTAATCATTGACCACTCGATCGATACAAATTTTGAAGCAAGGGTATTTCGGTATTTCTGCACTCGTTTCTCGTTTCCTTAATTTTTGTGTATTTTTATAGTTGAGGGGGAGACAACTATGATATCTTTGTATCTTGTAATTTTCTGATCATAGTAAAACTATAGTAGCTGTGGACATAACCCTAGTTTTAGGATGAACCACGTGTGGGTAAGAGAGGTTAGAGGTTGTCAGTTATGGACTTGTGGGAAGATGGAGGGCATTTCTGATGGAGAATATAAGAAGTTCAAGGAAGGTTAAATTCAAAGAAGTGGTAATATTTAGACATTGGCATGATTTCGAAGAAAAGCTGATAGAATTCATATATAATTATATTTCTAGTATTATTACAGTCCTATTTTATAGTTTCTAGGATTTTTAGGTCAACGGTATTTTGGTAATTTTAATATTTGTTGACATGGGTTTGTGGGTCGTCCATGCGTTGTCTTGTGGGTCAAGTTATTTAATTAGTTTTTATTTATGCTTCTTATTTGGTTTTAGATAGGTTATGGAAGTCAAAATATTAGTAGTTTCCTATTTTGGAGTTTTAGTTGGGAAAGGAAGTCTCTAAGTTTATATAAAGTCATGTAACACTTATAATTCAATAGAGTTGATATTTTATAGAATTTTCAGAGCTTTGAAGCCTCTTTTGGGTTTGTGTGATCCAACCCTAACTTTAAGTGTGATGCCTATAGGATTCTAGGAGTGATTCCTAGATCCATCTTCGTCTTCTTCTTCTTCTCCTTCTTCTTCTTTCTTTCTTACTTTCTTTCTTTCCTAAATTTCAGTGTTTTCACAGCCCCAAAACTGCCCCGAACAGCGCTGTCCTACATCAATTTCAATGGCTCGAGATCACCGGAGATGAAGAGTAGAAGACCAAGGCAAGTTCAAAGATAGAGAGGGTGGCAATAAGAGACCTTGAACACTTAGGGTTTATGTGTTGTGATAGATGTGGTGTTGTGTGATGATGTGAGTTGCTGCATATGCGATATGTTAGATAAACTCCATAGTATTGGAGCCCAAGCAACGTGTTGGATAGGTGGTGAGCTCTCCTCAACTCGACAAAGAGCTGATATCATCCCTCCTGCCATCTGTAGCAAGCAAGTATGATATTTTTGGGCAACATATCATGCAGGCAGAGGCGTGGGTGTAAGGTCAACATCGCCTCCCTCCAAACCTGGTCAAGGTAGAGTTGTCTTGAGAGGAAGACAACCAAGGAAAAACTTGATGATTCCATAGTCTTAGTGTCCAATCCACAATCCTCCAATAATCCCAAGCGGGGGTGCCTAGGCCCTACTACCAGCCTAGGCAATCAAGTGCTGAAGTAGAATGAGTGCACATTAAGGTGGTCCAAGGGCCTAGCCTTAGGCCGCCAAGTAAGCATATGTAGGGCAAGGACCCGAACGAGCACATAGGTGAGCCAAACCGCCATGTGAACATAAGCGAGCCAAACTGCCATGTGAACATGGGTGAGCCAAGGGCCCAAAAGAGAGCGTAGGTAAGTTCGAGGGCCTAACTCATTTATCTTGATGCGCTCCATACTTGGTGGTGTACATGCCCCCGCTTAGGCTAGGCATGTAATCCCAATTGATCATGGTGCCTTAGAAGCTATAAAGCACCGACACGTTCCCAGGCCCTACGTACGAGTGTCGGACACGTGTCGAACACGGACACGAACACGCGATGGACATGCAGTAGACACGTGTCCAACACTCTCTCTAATGTGTCCCCTTTTTTTTTTGAAATTTCCCAGTCGGACACACCATGGACACTCCGGGACACTTTTCGGACACGCGTGAGTGGATCGAAGAAGCCCTAACTGTTGGAGAGGAGACAGAGAAAGAGAAAAAGAGATCAAGGGAGGAGAGGAGACAGAGAAAGAGAGAGAGATCGAGGGAGAACAAGGAGCCTAACCTGTTCAGATCAATCGAAGAAGCTGAGGTATGATTCTTTATCTTCTCTCTTCTTCTTCTCCTTATTCTCTTCGTCTCTGTCTCCATCTTCTCTGTTCTTCTTTTTCTCTTTATTTTCTTCCTCCTCTCCTCCCTTTCGTCTCTGCCTTTTCCGACTCTCTCTCTCTCAGCCTTTTTTATTTCACTCTCTCTCCTCTATTGTTTCTCTTTTTCTTGATTCCCGTTTCTCTCTCCCTCTCTTTTTTTTTACTTTTTTCTTTTTTCTTTTTTTTTATCCTTATTTTTTGTTAAACCTAAAATTCATAGAATAAATTATTTTTATTTAAAAAACTTATTTTTTATTAAAAAATTTAAAAAATATGTTTATTAATTTTATTATTATTGTAATTGTATAAGAATTAATAATTTTCTTTTTATTTTAGACATATAATAAATAAATAAAATTATATATATTAAACGTGTCCCCAGCGTGTCGTATCACTCATTTTTTGAAAAATTGCGTGTCCGTGTCGTGTCTACGTCCGTGCATCACAGCTTGGAAGTTTGCAACATGGGGGTGTAATGGCGATGATGTGATGCCCGAAGGACTCGTCATGTGTCGGGCATGATAAAATACCACGTAAATCATTGTAACCTATGTGTGCGCTTGATTTTCCATTACTTGTTCAAGTTCTTATTTGTATTTTGTGTCTCAACGATCCAAGTTAGGTGTATCATTCAATTCCTAACAGAAATTACCTTCGCAATTAGTACCCCTGAAAATAACACCTTCAACTCAAACAAATGTTAGTGTTGCTGACTTAACATTTAGGTTTCGGCATCACAAAGCTTGCACTGTCTTTTCGCACTTAGGCACACGACGTGCCATTGGTAAAAATGATTCTACTACGGTGCCACAAATTCGCAAGCTGAACAAACTTGAATTCTGTTTTCCGATTTTTGAGGACATAACATAACTATCAAATCCTAAGAACCCCCCTCCCCCAATTCTAATTTGGTAATTTTCCTACTTTGGCTCTGCAAACAAAACAGGACTTGAATTCTATTATTCATTTCAGAATCTAATATACAAAACTTCAACCTAAATGCAAGTTTAAGTCAATTGTGTATTAGGCTCACATATTTTCAACAGAGACAAGAAAATCCATTTTCTTCAAATATATATATATATATATATATAGTTTTATCACTACATTTTCTCAAGAACCAAACGGAAAGTAATGTGAAATGAATACATACATACATACATACCTTAGACACAACATGAAACGTATCAAGCAACAACTCCAAGACCTCCCTGGCGGCGGAGTCCTCAGCTCGCTGCCGCAAACCAGTCTGCAGAGCGAGGAGCGAGGCCTCGACGGCGGAGCAGAAGACGAGGATCTTCTCGCGAATCTCGGAGAGGGGGGCGCGCATTCGGACGACGGCGGCGTCAACGTCGACGAGCTTGGTACTGAGGCTGACGAAATCGCCGTAGTCGCGGTTGATGAGGTCGACGAGCTCGTGTTTGAGAGAGGAGAGATGTGAATGGAGCTCGGATCGGAGGGTTTCGAAGGGGACGAAGGTCCTGAGATCGGCGATGTAGGACTCGGAGTCGAAGTTGGGTTGGAGGAAGGAGGATTGCTTGAACCATACCGGGTGGGAGTCGACTGGGTCTCCGAAGAGGTCGGCGGTGGAGCGAGGCGGCCCCGGAGATTGTAGATCCGCCATTGCTATTGTTCGTTTGTATGTAATAATTTTATAAATGTAAAATGTGGAATTTGATTGTTTACAGATTTGGTAACGGAATGGACATTAGAGAATAGGGAAATTTTGGGTGTGTTTGGTTTGTGTTTTAGAGTTGTTTTGGGGATAAAAAGTATGAAATTTTGTTTGGTTTATTTTTTTTTAGAAATGATTTTGAAAAATTATTTTTGGGAGAGAATTTTATAAAAAGTGATTGATTTGATGTGTATGAGAGAAAGTGATTTTAGAAAGTAGGTAACCAAATAAAACTTTGAGACTTTTTTTGAAAAAATTTGTTTGGTTCGATTACTCTTAAAAATTTGTTTGTGGAAAATTTTTCTCAAAAATTTTTCTGAAAAACAAACCAAATAAGGCCTCAATTTCCACACACCAGGTTTCCTTACTCCACACACTGAATGAATTTTTTCAAAATTATAATTTTATCTTTTAACAAAATTACCATCTCACCCACCGCCATCTCACCTACACATCTCACAATTTCTCCATACACATCTCACCCACCACCATCTCACCAGCTACTTCACCGCTAGCCATCACCTTCCATGCCCAAACCTCAACCATACACCTTCCATGCCCAAACCTCAACCATACAAAGCGGGGAACAACACCAGATTGTATAACTTCTTCAATCGATGGACTTCCAAAAGTTAAATAGAAGACATATAGCCCCATGTATCAAAACATGATCATATACCTATTGAAAGCAATTTATGGAATTGTGTTTACAAAAGTTGCATTGAAGGGTGTATATTAGATGTCCAATCTCCATTGCCAGTGGAGAAAAGACACATGAAGCTTTATCAATGGGCACAAGCAGATAAAGAATTCTTGAGACTGTTGAGCAAGAACAAGCAAGAGGAAGGCTCATCATCATCATCATCACCATCTTCTTCTTCTCTTTTTGGCTATGCAAGGCCACTCAAAAATCTCCATGAGAGCTATGCTTAGAAACAGAGATATCTTAGATGTTACACCTTTAGTACCAAGAAACAAACTACTGCAGCTAAGACAAAGAATTGGCTTAGTGCAAAGAAGAACTACTTGATCAAACCCAACAATGATCCAAAGGTCAAGAAAGTTTCTGAGAATGGGTCATGTTCTTTCATTGATGCTTTGCTCAAGTTCGTGTTCCTATTTATGGCTAAAGTTGATGTTCATGAAAATTAAGATTTTTTGAGTGAGAAATGATGGAATGAGAGGATGTGCACAGAGAAGGTGAGGGTATATTTGGAATGTGAAGTGTGTGGACTGAGATAAAGAAATAAAAATTAAATTACTAAATGTGTGGATTGAGAAAATATGTACACAGAGATAATTTGGTGTGTGGAAATAGAATTTCCCTAGAGAATAGTATGTATGCGTACGCGCGCATGAGAGAGAGAGAGAGAGATAGATAAGACTTGGAGTTTTTAGGACCGTTTAAAAATCCGTTTAAATCGGTAATTCGGACCAAATCAGACTGAACCATACGATTTGGTTCAGTTTTATTAAGAACCGGTTTGGTTTCGGTTCAAAAAATATCGAGAACCATAAAACGATTCAGTCAATGAATTTTATAAAAAAATCACGGTTCGAACCAACCCGAACCGAATTAAATTTTAAAATAGATATAGATATATATATATGTATGATATTTAATAAACATCAGTTCATAAATTCACCACACTCACGCCATTCTTGAGAGAGAACTCGAAGGGTCTGACCATTTCTTGGCCTTCAAATTCGTCTCCTCGATTCCATCTTCGTCTCTTCATTTCTCTCACACTCTCCTCTTATTTGAATATTACATACTAGTCATGCCATCAACCATCTCTATCTCTCTCAATCTCATCACAACACTACCTTCAACCATTGTCACTGTTAGGACCTCCAAATCTGGCCAACTATTTCATTTAGTATATGATCTTGCCACCAACAGCTTTCCAATACCATCGGCTATTCACTCTTGCATAATCGTAGTACAAGATCAGTGAGTAATTTTTTTATTTTTGTGTTAGGTTTTTTTTTTAAATATATTAATATATTTTGCTTTCCCGTTTTGATTTAGATTTTTAATTTAATTGTTTTGAAAGAGGGGATCAACAGTGTATTTAATCCATGCAATAATAGTAGTATTACACTTTGTAATAAGAATGAGATACTTGGGTTTTAGACCTTTGAAAAAAATAGTAGTAACTGGTGTAAATTTTGATTATAGTATGATGCTGCTAAAAGTAGTTCCATTTATCCCTTGTTGTAATATAACACACAGATTTACAAAAGAAATTGAAAAGGAAATGAAGCAATCTGAGAAGAAAATCAGCAGAGCAATGCCTTTAGCTGAAAGGTTTGATTTATGAAGAAAAAATGAAGATACAAGTTTCAGAAAATAATCCACACCCTTTTTCTGATATCTATTTATACAATATCTTCTCTTCTAACTACTATTCCTGCCCATATTGGTAACTAACATCCAAAATAGAGTAATTAATATTCAAAACATAACTTGATTGCTAGCTAATCTAACCAACTTAGCTTGCTAACTTGACGGCTAGTAATTAATATTCAAAACATAACTTGCTAATTGGCAGCTTCTCTTCCATTAGCAGCACTCCTATCATAATACTAACAAGACAAAACAAAGTATGGATGAGATGATTCATATGATACAAATATATATATATATATATATATCAATGATTGCATCAATGGGAAACAAGAAAGCCAATAAAGACATTTTCAAAAAATTTGTGACAAACATGATTACTTGTCATGATTTAGGTATTTTTTTATGCACTTTATGTTTATGATTTTATCAGGGGATTTTTTATTTTAGAGATTTTTCAAGCTAAGGAATTTTTTATTTTTTAGAGATTTTTGAAGTTTAGGGATTTTGCTGAGTAAGGGATTTTTTGGGGATTATTATACATTCTGTCATTTGATATATTTGTGTATTTGTGTTTCTTGTTAGATGTCAAGTGTTGAAGAGATTGCAAATCCTGGTAACAGTAGCACCCCTGTGGAGCATAAACTTGATGCTTCTACGTCTTCCTCTAAGACAAAGGTACGTCATCCTAAAGAAAATAGTAGGAAAGGTTCAGAGGTTTGGCTTCATTTCACAAAAATTTATAAGGAAGGGTGCAAGAAACCTGAAGGGGCTAAATGTAATTACTGTTATAACACACATGCATGGTTGAGTGAGAATGAGACTAGTACTTTGAGAAAACATGTTGCTAATTGCTCGAAGTGTCCTTATAATCATGAGATAAAGAAACAAAAAACTTTGTCATTTCAGTCAATTAAAGAAGAAGGTTCTAAAAATAGTCTTAGACTGTGGAAATTTGAACAAGATGCATGCAGAGATGCACTTGCTCAAATGATAGTCAAAGATGAGTTACCTTTTAGGTTTGTTGAGCGTGAAGGTTTTCGTCACTTTTGTAGTGTGATGCAACCTAATTTCAAAAAAACTTTCACGCATTACAATAGCAAGGGATTGTGTGACATTGTTTAGTAATGAGAAAAAGAAATTGAGGAATTTGTTCATGAAATCAAATCAAAGAATTTGTCTCACTACTGATTCATGGACTTCCCTACAAAATGTTTCCTATATGTGCTTCACAGCACATTTCATCGATGAGGATTGGAAATTACATAAAAGAATTTTAAGCTTTTGCGTAATATCTAGCCACAAAGGTGAGGCAATTGGGAGGGCAGCAGAGGCATGCTTGATTAATTGGGGTATAGAGAAATTGTGCACACTAACTGCTGATAATGCAAGTGCTAATGATGTTGCACTTGCATATTTGAAGAGAAAGTTCTCTAAAAAGAGTGATGCCTTTATTTTAAAAGGTGAGCTTTTTCACATGAGGTGTTGTGCCCATATTATTAATTTAATTGTGAAAGATGGCTTGAATGAAATCAAAGGGTTGGTAACTCAAATTCGTGATGCTGTGAAGTATGTTAGAAGTTCTCCTCAAAGAGAGCAACGTTTCAAGTCATGTGTAGAGAAGGAGAGGATTAATCATAAGAGCTCTTTGTGTTTAGATGTTCAAACACGGTGGAACTCTACTTTTCTCATGTTAAATACTGCACTCAAGTTTCAAAAAGCTTTTGAAAGATTAAAAGATAAGGATCCACATTTTTGCTTAGAACTTAATGATATACCTTCTACCACCCAAGATTGGAATGATGCTAGGCATTTTACTTCATTTTTGGAAAAATTCTATGATGCCACTGTTCATTTGCCTGGTTCTTTGTACATTACTTCTACTATGTATTTTACTGAAGTTTGTGCAATTGAAGGTTTCTTATCTGAATGTGCAAAGAGTTTGGATCCTTCTTTAAGTGTAATGACTATGAAAATGAAGAGCAAGTTTGATAAGTATTGGGGAAAAATTGAAAAAGTGAATATGTTGTTGTTGATTTCTGTTGTGTTGGATCCCCGTTGTAAGTTGAGATATGTTAGTTTTTGTTACTCTGAACTTCATGAAGTTGCCACTGTGACTGAGCTTACAAAAAAGGTAAGAGAGGCATTGAATCAAATTTATGATGAGTATCAAAAGCTCGAATTTGGAATGTGTTCTTCTTCTAACCAAACTTGTGTTGAAGTTGATCAACCAATTAGTGGCGCAAGTAAACAGTTAATGTCTCTCAAATCAAAGTTTCAAAAACATTTGGCACAAGAAGAATGTGATGGTGGAAAGTCAGAAGTGGATAAATATTTGGAAGATGCTTGTGAAAAGGAAGGCCCAAACTCACATTTTGAAATTTTGAATTGGTGAAAGGTGAATTCCTCTAGATATAAAATTCTTTCTCAAGTTGCCTGGGATATTTTGGCCATTCCCGTATCCACTGTTGCCTTAGAGGCTGCCTTTAGTATAGGAGGTCGTGTCATTGACCAATTTCGTAGTTCTCTTACTCCCAAGCTTGTAGAATGCTTGATTTGTTTGCAGGATTGGTTGCGTGCTTCGCCACTCCCATTTGAAGTAGAAGAAAATATTGCGGACATTGAAGAACTCGAACAAGGCAATATTGATTTGGTATTTTGTTATGAAATTTATTTTCATGTATTATGTACTTCATTTTAAATTAATGTTATCATTTTTTGTAATTTCAGCTCTAAATGTTGTGTCTCCGAATGTGATTACTGACTAATGGAGAATGATTTGGCTCTTGGAAAGTTGGAAAAGACCACTGTTGCTGTTTTGCTGGGCTACTAATGTTGTTGGTTGCTGTTAATGTTTCCATTTTGTTGCTGCTAGAAACTTGGAATGCTCTCTTTTGTTGCTCTTAAGAGTCTTTTGGCTACTGTATTTGCATCCATATTGTTTAACTTGTCTTATGTTTTTGTTGTTTTTTATTTGAAAAAGTTTCTATTGACTGTTTACAATGTTTAGAATGTTTTTAAATGCTTTTGGATGATTTCAAATTTTAATGGTATGTAATGGTTATTATCGTATCAAGTTTTATTTTTATTAATTGGTTTTTTATAATTTTAATAATATTAGGATGATATAGATATGTAATGTTGAGTAATGCCTTAATATTATTAGTTTTTATCATGGGTTAAATGTAATCAATTTGAGTAATTATTTTGCTAATATTAACAATTTATTCTTATACATAGAAAATTTTGGAATCGTGAACCAAACCGCAACTGAACCGTTATTTCGATTTGGTTCTGGTCTAGTTTTACAAGTGTAACAGTTTGGTCTAGTTCTCAAAATTCCAGAACCGTTAGGATCGATTTGGTTCTTGGATTTTCTTAGAACCAAACCAATCTGGACCGTGTACACCCCTAGGAGTTTTGGACAGGTTTATGTATGACCAAAAGAGAGTCACAGCCTCAGAAGGATTGTACTATTGTATCAACTGTAGGATTGTAATAGGAGAGAGAAGCTGATCTCATTTATTTTATGGATAATTTTGGATGTAAGATCATTAGGTTGGTTTGTATACAAAATTTGTTGATGATATTTATTTGTGGTTAATATTATAAAATTTTGTGATTTAGTTTTGACATGGTTAAAAATTATGGACAATTTTGTTAGGTTAATTAGTGGGAGATTATTGTAGCTTAGTTACGATATTTATGATTTCTAAAAATTTTGGATATTTTTGTTGTACCAATTGGTGGGAGATTTTGCATTTTATAGTTATGTTACAAAATTATGTGACTTAGGTACAATATTTGTGGTTTCGAAAAATTTTAACATTTTTGTTATATCAATTAGTGGTTGGTTACTCATTTACAAATTCTTGTGATTATTGTTACAAATTCTTGTGGTTTGGTTATTGTGCGGGCTGATTTTCGCAATAAAGAGAGATGAAACTTCGTAGACGAGTCCTGGTGCATCGATGGGTGAAGGCCTACACAAGGAATAGATGGTTAGTCTGTTCAACCAGGGTTTGGTTAGAAACCCCTCTGACAGCGAGTAGAGAAAGAGTAAAGAAGAAGAAAATGTATAAAGAAAAGAGAGAATTCATTTTTTCCCTACGTAAAGGAGGATCAAGTTGCCTTTGATAAGGAGGGTGTGGGGACTTTTTCTAAAGTGGGGACTTTTTTCTTGCCAAGCTAAGCCTCACACAATTGGACTTGAATAATTGTGCCCCTTTATTTGCCCCCTAGGTTGCACTTAAATTTGTTGAGTAGAAGCTATTTGTTGTATCTCTGCCTAATTTATTCAAAAGTATACTTCGACCTTTGTGCTTATACATAGATCTTGGCTCTCGAGTTCTCAATAAGACAACCATATATATATTATGAGCATCTCGGCCCATTCACAATTTTTGAGTAGGCTAAGCTGGTATGAAGGTTGTTTTGGTTGCCACGTAATTGTACTGCTTGCCAATTCAAATAATTGATCTTGCACGGGCATTCTAAGTGAGTCCCAAAAATCCATTTAGCTCCTTACTTCATTTGTTTGGTCCTTTGTACATGGCCTTTCAAAAGAAACATCATGAATGCTCGCTTGGGCCGACAACTTTTGACTTTGATTTGTTGTGCCTTATCAAAATGGATTTATTGACATGTTACAAATTGCATGGTTGGGCCCACATTGGTGGTCTTTGCGCGGTCCATTATTTCATCATCTTGGTCCCACTTTTAAGTACTGCTCAGTCTTGCAAATTTTTTTTTTTTAAATTTACTTCAGCCCTCCATATAGCTTGGTCTTTTTTGATTAGTTTTGGGTGTTTTTGTTCGAGTCCAAACCCTCGCCCGTCCATTCCTGCAGCTGTCCCTGCGGATCCCCCAAAGTGACGTCATTTTGGGAAAAATTTCAATTAAAAAAAAAAAAAACAGAATAGAAACAAAGCTGAGGGGGAAAAAGAAGGAAGGGAGAAAAGGAAGGCAACGACAGATTTGAGCAAACCAGAGAGGGAGAAGAAGGAAAGAAGAAGGTAGAAGAAGGAATGCAACGGCAGATCCAAACTCCTTCTCTGGGTCATCCTTGTAAATCGCTAGCTTTCACCCACTGTCATCGCCGCCCACCTGCCCCTCTCTGTCTCTTTCTCCTTCAACGTTGGGGCTCTGATCCGGCTCCCCTCCATCCTCTTTCTTTGCAACTTTCTCTCTTCCCATTTTTCTCTCCCTCTCTACACATACATGCATGTATATATGTAAGCCAATTCATGTGTCTGGTGAACGAATCACAAAACTGATTTTTTTTTATTTATTGATTAATTCTTCTTCAATATTCTAATGAATGAATCGCAAAAATGAATATATCTGTAAAACTAGTATGACACAGCGGGAAAAAATTTTAGATCATACCTTAGGTGATAGAAGCGAAGAATCTTGTGGGTAAATCACGTGCTTCAATAAATGCGAACAACGAACTCCCAACAGTGGAATGTAGACCGCCCAAACTCCGCTCCGCGCGCGAGGGTGCGAATTGTTGTTCTAGTTACTTCAGTTCGGACTCATGTCACGGTTCTGAATCTAATCTCACAAAGTGCAATGTAAGACTGATAAATCACCAAAGAGTTCAAATCCGGCAAATCATTTTGGAAAAACGATTTTAATAAAAAAGCGCCAAACATGGACTGCTTTGCCAGATTTTAGAGTCGCCACCTAAATATTTTATTTTGAAAAATTTAGGAAACCCTGACTCGTGCTTAAGGCCACATGTCCGTCATCACCAAAGTTGTCTCGGCTCAGGAACTTGGGTACGAGAGGGGAAGGTCCTGAAATGAGCACCCCTGCTCGCCTGATCAAAGATCGACTTCTACTAAACATGATATATTATTTTTGAAAACACATGCGTTCTTATTCCGGTTTATTAGCTAGCTTACTATGTGATGCGCACAGCATACAAGTATAGACTAAATCACTCGAATTGGAACAAAACATTTCATGTTTGTTTTCGAAAATGATTTGAAAGTGCTACTTGCAAGTAGGCTAAGACACGGATTTGCCACCCTCAAGTGGGCTTAGAAAACATGATTTGCTATTCTCAAGTGAGCTTAAAACGCACATTTTGATGAATTGTTCCAATTCAAACAATAAAGCCTTCATCCACAGGCATTCATGCAGTTAAACACGTAAGCAAATAGCCTCATGGCAAGCATGCTGTCATGGCAGCACTTACACACATGCAAGATGCTAAAGCATAAACACTTACAGTGTACTCCGAGCCAAAACAAAAGCTAGTTAGTAATCATGCATGATCATAACTATGTTAAGATGCCTACTGCAGCACATGCAAAAATGTAACTAAAATAGGCTCGGCTATCTAGAATGGCATATGAATGCAACTTGATAACAAGTATTCAAATTGGTATTGAAATACAAAGCAGTTTGTATGATGCGCCGAGCCCGATGCATGCAAAACAGATGAATGATGCAAGCATGCGAAACATAAGGATGCTAATTGAGATATGCCCTAAACTAACCATCAAAAGCTGATAAGTAAAAGGGAGAAAGAAATGGGGTTGGAAGACATGCATCACACACACGCACACTTATTACAAAATTCGCCCTCTTGACGGAGAGTCCGAATAAATCAACTAACTAGCTATGCTAAGCTAATTAATTACAAACCGAATTGAAACTAGTTATACTAAGCTAATTAGAATATTACAAAGACGAAATAAATTAGCTAAATACATTAACTAATTAATTACAAAATCATCAAATTAACTAGCTAAACAAAGCAGTTAAAATGGCCTCGGGACGAGAAGTGCATGCATGCTCGATTGCTTCGCTCGGAAATCCACTACCGTGCCTCATGTTGCCTCTGTTTGCACCTTTTTGGACTTCTGAAAATTGTGCCAACTTCCAAGATGCTTCTGATCCACCTTAAGAATATGCTAAGAGATGGTCGGCCAAGAGGAATGGCCATTGGCCAAAGATAATGGTCATCGGCCACTTTTGATAGCCGATCTGCAGACTTGGTGGCCAGTCGGTAGCTCTGATGGTTGGTCGGCCACTGTTTCCTGTAATTTCTCCTTTTGCTACAATAGAGCACAAACAGAGGCATGGCAGTGTATTTGCAAGGTATGTGTGCACAACCACCCTCTCTATCATTTCTCAAGCTCAAGGGAGTGTGGTACTTGACTCTCGGGCCATAAATCACGCATCTCAATGCATGATGGCCGAAGAAGCCAAGTTTACACAATTCAATGTCAATGAATGCACAAATGGCACAATGAGCCTACACCTCTATCATGCTTGATCAAGAGGGTCGGCAATCGAGAAATGAGGCACGTTCTATCACTTCAAGTATGAAACGTCCCTCGTTTCTTGTGTTCGGATCAACATCCGATCCAAACACAATGTAATGCAACACACATGCAAACAACATGCTATGCAACAACATGCAAACAACATTCAATGCAATAACATGCAAACAACATGCAATGCGACAACATGCAAACAACATGCAATGCAACAACATGCAAACAACATGCTCTCCTAACAATGCTAGAATGGCATGCACAAGATTCTACCATGCAAACAATGCATGCATGACATATTTGGAGGCTAAAGCATGAAAGCAAGTAAAGAGAATCATAGAAGAGGCATGCAATACAATGCTCCATAGACTTAAACCACATATGGACAGGCCTAAGAGGCTCCAAAACAGTGGCCAACACACCAAAAACTTAGGCACAAAAGGGGCAAAAAAACACATGCTCATGTGATGGCTCATCAACTAGGCATAAGGTCAACTCTTAAAAGCGCTTAAAGAGTGAAAAACATAGAAGTGTGACAATACTATATGCTCTGAAATATCATTCCAAATGATGCCAAAACATGCACATATGACAAATGAGGTATGCTAGGAGGCTCAAAGCTTAAGGCTAGCAACGGTACTTGCACCATAGCCATATCAAGCAAGCCCCAAAGGGCCAAGGTGACTCAACACAGTCCCAAGGCATGTCAAAACAAGGCTAAAAACATGCTTGAACATAGCCAACATATGCTAGAATTAAAGGCATGAAGCATGGGGCATACTAGGCCAACAAAGAGGATTACACTACATCTACCAAAGCCAAGCATGAGATGACTTCACCAGCTAAAATCAGAGTTAAGGCATGTTAAATAATGACCAAAAACATGCTGGAATGAAACTAACACATGCTAGAAAGATGAGCCAAAACCTTAAGCATACAAGGCTAGTTTGTAAGGATTACACTACAAGTGTAAATAGTATGCATGAGGTAACCAAACCAAGCCAAAACAGAGCTATATCATGGCAAAACAAGGCCTAAGACATGTTGAAATGAAGCCTCAAGGAGGTAAAAAAACATGGTAACTTGGTGAGCCATCAACACAAGCACACAAGATACAAAAGGGAGGGGGGACCACCCCTACCTATTTTGGGTCTCAAAACACACTTTCCACCACTGAAATTCCTCTGGAATTCAGTGGTGAAGAGGCCAAACAAAGGTGATCCAAAGGCCTAAAAGAGATGGCTCAAAACAAGGCCAAGTAAGGCACAAAAGGGGGTAAGCCACCCCTAGCACCAAAGAAGTCTTAAACAACCATTTTAAACACTTAAATACAGAACTTTTTTCAGTTGAAAGTTAAGCCAAAAGAAGCATGCAAAGGTGGCTAAGTACTCAAGCAAAACAAGGCTTAAAGGGGGTAAAAACTCACACTTGAAGAACCACAGCCAAGCAGCAACTTCTGAGCTAACAAAGCAAACTTTGAGAGTCTAAACAAGGTCCTCTAGTACCTTAACAACAAAGCAATGGTGCTGTACTAGGTGTTGTAGTGCAAAAGTGAAGAGAAAACACACTTTTGAGCACAAACAAGTGCAAATATAGAAAGAGGGGGAGATATAGAGAGAGATATATGTATCACTCTATATTAATTTTTTTGAACCTCTAGAAAGGGAGAGGGACCTCCCCTCTTATAGAAATCCAAGTCTCAAGCTTGTTGAACAAGCTAGAGGCTTGGTTCAATCCCTCCATACGTGTATGGAGGATGAGTTCTATGCTTACCAGCTGTCACAGCTGGCAATAAAATATCTGCAAAAGCAAATAAAAAGGTCTTGGCCAAAAAGTATAGCCGACCGGCCAATAAAGGTGCCGACCGGCCATTAGTGATGCCGACCGGCCACCACTGATGGCCGATGGAAAGAATGAATGGCCGATAGGCAAGAGGCCTGGCCGATGGGTTATAGGGCTGGCCAACAAGCCACCCTCTTACCTCAGAAACAAAGCCACAAGCTCTTGGTCCACAACCAAGCACAAAACAGATAAGTTGAAAGGCTCCAAGGCAAGGCGCGCAGCCGAGACCTTCAGAAACTCAAAACGAACACAAGCATGGATGATCATCGAGTGTTCGAACGATGACGTCCAAGTCTTGAGGACAGTCAAAAATGGGGTGTCTACATGGAGTGATACCACAATATGAGTATCACTCACACAAGTCACAGTGCAAAGGTTGAATCGTTCTCATAATGGAAGAGAGTTAGAGAGAGTATATAAAAATGTTATAGGTAAAAACCACATAACGTATCTGATATAAATATATTATTCAAATATAAAATCAGATATATAACCATATATATCAATCTATCCATATCAGTTGATATGATAGATATAGATATCAAGAGTGGGTTACCAAATAGGTTTTGAATTCATATTCAAAACTTACATGGATAAGGTTCAAAAATGGTCATGGGTCATGCCACATAGGTTCAGAAGGTCATGGGTCATGCCACATGGGCGCCCAATTTCTAACAATATTCATGGCTATTTGTAGAGAGAATCACAAAAATGAGTGAATCACAAAACCCAGAAATCTTGCCTTTGAAGAGAGAATTAGAGGAGATATGGGGTTGTTTGTGTGGTTGAGGGGGAGAGAAAGTTGATTTGGGTTTGTGTAAAGAGCTAGGGTGGGTTTGATAATTTTTTTTTAGACATCCTCTTCTCCCTCCTTGGTTTGGTTTGCGGATCCTCTTCTTTTCCTCTCTGATTTGGTTTATAGATCCTTTTCTCCCTCTCTTTGGTTTGGTGTGCTTCTGTTTTGTTTTTGTTTTTGTTTGTAATTGAAATTTTTCTCAAGATAACATCGTTTTGGGAGTGTTGCAGGAACAGCCGCAGAAATGAGCGGCCGAGGACCCAGACTCGTTTTTGTTCTACCCACCCACCCTTTTTTTATTATTTATTTATTTTACACATTTGGTGCTCTTTATGAACTCCACTCCTTTGCTCGGTCCCTCATATGAGTTCAGTTCTCTATTTCTTACAGCTCGGTCCTGCCAAAACTGTCCACCTGTTAGCTAAATTCGGACATGTGGCATTGGTTGGAGTGTTTTTTTGTTTTTTTGAAATTTGCAGCTATCTTTCCTTATTAGACATGATTCAACTCATCACCTTTACGTGGTAAAATTATACATTTTATTTATTTGTTTTTTTAAATCTCCAACCAAACAAGCGGTAAGAATTTCCGAAAACAACTCCAAAACCACTTTTTCACAGACGGAAGGCCGAACTCAGTTGCTGTCTTCATCTCCAGCAGCCGTCCCGTCGTTGTCGTCGGAGTTCATCTGTTAGCATCGTGTCGGATCCACCCCACGTGGGCGACAACTCTGTCCTGCTTCACCGTGAGTTTGCCTCTTGCCGCCGCCGACTCACCATTCTTTCCAACGGGTTCATGGTTGATTTTCTTTTTTGATGTTTTCTTCACCGGCGCTGGGTTGTTGCCATAGCGCCGCTACCTTGCTGTTGGCAAGCTTGTATCGCTGGTTTCCAGCTTCGTTTCTTGGCTTCGACTTGATTTTGGTTGTTCATCATTAATTGCAGGGGCAACTTTATTTTGATCCTGTAAGTCCATGAATTCATCATTTTTTTCCCCCCCAAGGGTCTGAATTTTTCCACTATTGTTGGAGACTCCCTTCAATTTCTCCTTATAACTTGATATGAATCTTGGTTTGAACAAGTGTGGTCTTTGAATTTGTTTCAACTTCTGGCAGGTCGGTCTTGCTGTTGTGGGCTTCACACGACATTCATTGCTTAGTGGTCGTCATTGTTTCGTAGCTTGCAGCATTAGCTTGATATTGTGAGTTCACCCAATTTGCTTCACCCAGTAACTCAATTCCTTCTTCTGTTTTCTTGGTTGGGTTTTGAATTTCCTTTTTGCATCCTCATCATTTCCCTCGAAATTCATGGCAGGTTTGGCTTGACTCCGACATTTGTTTGATGCCCTAATTTCAGCATTGTAAGTTCTTGATCCTGTGTCTCTCCTTTATTTATTTTGTATTCTAGATTTAGGAGATGGGTAAGTTTAGAAGGCTAATAAACACATCATCCAAACTAGCATTTTTTTAGAAAAGTACCATATTCCAAAAGACATTACTCCGGTGTTACGGGGTTTAAACACACTTCGTTCACTGACCGCCGATATCGTGCCCCTTCCTGTAGGATCCATAGTAGAAGGGGAAGTTCGGTTTCCTCTGGACCCCTTGTAGCTTAAGTTTTTCCATTACTTCAAACTCCACCCCATGGAGATATTTATGAATACTTTTAGGGTTGTAGGTGGCTTCATAGCCCTTAACCGGTTGCTTGGCCTTAGCTTAGGAGTATGGGACATACTCCATTGTTACACCTTCTCCTATAACCCAGATTGCACCTACTACCTTAAAATTTAGACCAATGTACCCCAAATGATCCTAGACCTCCCTGATGCCAATATGCTTTCGAAAGACTTCTTCATCATATGAGGAAACTTCAAGTATCCAACTGGCATAAAGGATCGACTAACATGGGTGTCGCATAAGGGGGGTGGTCCAAGTTAGCTTTGGTCCTTAAGGTTTTACTTTCATGCTTTTGATGTTGGTTCTAACTTTTGTTATGGCTTTGACAGATGCTTCTCAGACGAGAAGGCATATGAACAAAGAACATCCGACCAACCTTGAGACTGCCTTCGCGTACCCCAACCGAACCATGACAGAGTTGCTTGGATACGTAACCACTAACAAGCATAAGCTTAACAAGAGGAGGGTTCACGTGATTGATTACGTTAAGGGGTCCTTGGAAAGGTCAGTCGAGCAACAAGCTTGCAACAACACCGGTGCTTCTACTTTTGCTGTTGTTCGATCATCAAGCGGAACTACGAGTGAGGACCCTTTTCCTGACGAGCAAGAAGCCATGACTCACCAAAAGCTTGACCTTGCAGCTCTAGTTTACGGTACAGACCCTGTTGCTGAAGTGGCTGCTATGACTATACAACTGGCCAAGCAAAGAGTCTCAGTTCCGAAGCAATCTATGTAGATTACCGAGGAGGTTCTGATTCCTATTCTACCTACCACCACTCAAACTAAAGCACCGAAGGCATCCAAGTGGAAGAGGGATAAGGGAAAAGATGTTGTTGAGGGCTTTGAGGAGCTGACTTCGGTTGAGGAGTGGCTGCCGCCTTTGGAGCATGAGGGTCACCCTATCACTATGTCCGACAATGTGACAGCTTCTCGTGAGTTGGCTTTCAATCTATTCAAGGTGTTACTTCTACCCTTATGGTTGAGAGTAATATGGACTCTAAATCCCTAAAAATAGGGATCCCTTCAGATGGTGACCGTAGTAAGTGTTTTCTTCTTGATTTGATTGATTTCCTTTATTTTCTCTCTCTAGTGTTTTATCGTGGTCTTTGACAATTGGGCCAACAGTTTCATGTTATGGAGCAACGCCGCTTGGAGCAAATAGTAGACTGCGACCAAACTACGAAGGTGCTAGTTGATGCTGACCTTGCTCTAAAGTCAACCGAGGAGGAGACCGTCGCTGCTAAGATGTTAGTCATTGCTTAGGAGAAGGTGGTGTTGGAGGCTGAGAGAGTTTCTAAGGTGGCTCTGGACACCAAGAAAGAGGTTGAATAGGGAAGGACTGAAATGGAGGCCAAGCTGGAGGCGATGAAGGCTAACCAAGCTAAGCTTATTAAAGAGGCCAACCAGAACAGTTGGGATGAAGCTAAGGCAGATTATGCCCAATAGATGTTGGAGTTGAGAGATGGTTTATTTGTCAAGGGTTGGACAGATGCCCTTCGTGGTACTAGGATTGAGAAGACCTCTGCTCTTTTCAAGGACATCCTTGTTTCGTCAATAGTTGTTGCTGTAAGGGCTGCCAAAGCAAATGAGGCATCCTTAAAGGCTAAGACTTCGGAGGCCACCCCTTCCGTTTCTCCATTTCCTTCGTCTGCCAAGCCTTATACCGAACAAGCTAGAGCAGCCCCAAGATAAGGACTAACAATCTTCTTCTTCTTCTTCTTCTTTTTTTTTTTTTTTTTTTTTTATTTAAAGTTCGACTAGCTAGACATGTTTATTTTGTAAGGCCGAGCTTCTCTTTTTGTAATGGATGCATTGTAGTAATGATGTGCTCTTCTTGAATTTTTGCAAGTTTTGAACTTCTATCCTTAATTTTTGCATGTATATGTTATGTTTGCCCTTGACCGAGAATGAGCTCTATAGAGAAGAAGGCCATATGTTCGATCAGACCAGGCTTCATAAAATTGAATTACAAAATTGAAGAATTAAAACTTTTCATGCCCCTCGGTCCAGTAGAGGCTTCGAAACCACACAGGGTGTTTGATCAATCAGATTAGGGTTCATGTCATAACCCGAACTAGCCCCTAGAGATTTAGGCCGTGACCGGCCAGTAATCCTAGATTACTTCCGGCCGCAAAGACAAAACTGATAATTAATAATAATAAAGGGGCACGGCGGAAGCAATATTAAGATATAAACTCGTCCATCGAGCGGTGTATATATGATAATCATATGAATTTAAAACTTCAACTCCTTCAAAGATACGGATACTAAAGTATATTATAGCATCTTAACACTTATACAAATTATCCATTCATTTCAAGTTCCAAAACAAAAGAAACTAAACAAAATAAATAAAACAAAGCATCATGATGCACAAGGTTGACACACTTGACGCATGAGACCAAGATCGGCCCATCACAAAGGCACTTTAAAACGGCTGACAAAACGGTGGACTCCTGAGGTTGCTCTGTGCTTGACGTTCCATTTGCTCACCTACGTATATATAAAGGAAGAGTGTGAGCTAAAACCCAGTGAGTGATACCAGTATAAAGAGGTCAAATGAATGATGTACATCATTGTACAAAATCATATCATATGAGTTCGAAACAAATAATAAATGAGTACTTGTCATATCAAATTTCACAAATTATATTCATATGTGGTATATCCATTAGTGCACAAAGGGATCACATGGGTTTATATCAGAGATCTCTGCAACGAAAGGCCATGGTATTGTTATCCCCGGGCGAGGGTCATATAGCATAAGCCACAGTATTGTTACCCCCAGGTGAAGACCATGTAGCATAGGCCACGGTATTGTTACCCCAGTGCGAGGGCCATATAGCATAAGCCATGGTATTGTTACCATCGGGCGAGGCCTATACTAAGGATGCCACAATTCCATTTCCAAATAAACCATCATTCATTCATAACAAAATAACATTTCAAAATAACACTCTTGTGACAAGCCAAAATATATTTTAATAACATATCTTTACAAAGATACTATTCACAATAGGTTGGCACTGACAATAGACCTCGATTGACCACCTACACAAAGCACATAACACAAATACACATTGAAACACACGTTCGAACAAGTAACGTATCTTAATTCATTTCCCTTACGTGTGTCTCTAGCTTGTTTGATGACTAAGGATGTTCAAATGATGCAAAAGAATGCCTAAATGGGCATGAGGATGCAAATATGCACTTAGGAGTGTTAATCAAAACTTGTTGAAAATAGGGCCTTCACTCGAGCGCACACTTGGTCACTCGAGCAGTGTGGCCTAACTGCAAAAGTATTGGATGCTCAAATTTTACGCTCGATGGTTGCTCGAGCCAAGTGCTGAACAAAAGTGGGTTCGCTCAAGCGCACACTTGGTCACTCGAGCCAACAGCCAAATGTCTACAAAAGTGTTGGATGCCTTCGTTTTTCGCTCGAGCGACAGATTCTTCACTTGAGCAAACTGGACGAATTCTGGGTTTTCCAGAATTGTGTTTGAAGTTCAAAAACATTGCTTTCATGTTCAAAACTTGTATGGTTAGTCTCAAAAGCTTAGAAACACTTCATAAAACATGGATTGTTGGAAAATATGAAACCATGATCTCAATTCCCTTTCCAATTCTTCAAAACAAAACTCAAAACATTATGTTCTTGACATGCGTGTAGGAAATCCAACTCTCTTCTTTTTAAAACATGTTTATATGAGATGTAGTGCAAATCATGAAGAACCTTAAGAAATAACTAACGTAAGTCCCATGCATGTTTGAATTTGTAGAAAACCAAGTTCAAAAGTGAAGAAATAAGCATACATATACACAATTCGCTCAAACTCACTAAACTCTTGATAATTCGTGCTCATTTCTTTCAATTACATGCAAATGGTCCTACCATTTGGTGAATTCATCTTCCTACATGGATTAACTTCATGAATTATAGGTAAAGATCATACTTAGAGCTTGAATTAGGCCTTAAATAAACTTAAACTCTTCAATCTCTCCATAATTCTCTTGAATTCTTCTTCTTCTTCTTCTTTGTCTCTCTCTCTCTCTCTCTCTAAGATGTTGAGTTCCCTCTCTAGCTCTCAATTTTCTGCACAAGTTAATGTCAAAAATGAAGTTTAAAGCATGATTAACATATATATATATAGGTGGATTAGGCTTAGCTAATTAATTGTGATTAAGGCTAAACAATTGGCTTAAGTCTAATCAATTATACTTATTTTATTCTAATTATTTTGATTTGAAACAAATTTTAATTAAACTTACCATATGGTTCTAAAAATCCCAATTAGCCTATTGAATTAACCAATTTTGATTTCTGAATTTGCTTGGGCCTTCAATTTCAAATTCTAAGTTGACAATTAAACAGATAATTCACAAACAAACAGATATGTGTCACATAAACACATAATCATGCAAATTATGCCCAATAAAATAATATGTAAAAATGATACAGAGCTCGAGGTTGTTACAGATCGTGTCTTAAAAAATTGAAAGAAAGAAATTCCCATGCCTCCACAGCCAAGCAGAGACTTCGAGGCTGAGCAGACTGTCTGTTCGGACAGAGTAGACTTCGTGCCTGGAAAAAAGTAGTTAAAAAGAAAATTTTTGAAAAAATATGGTGTGCCCCCAATGTGGACGACACCTTGTAAAAAAGTTTTATGTGAATTAGGCAGAGCATTGCGTTGCTCGGTCTTTACTTGATTCGTTCAAGTTTAACTCATCATAGAGTGTAACTCAGCTCTTCGTTAAGCGCGAGTTGTTACCATGTACCATGCTTTCAAATAACGACACTTGGCACAAAGTCCACCAAGCTATACCACTTGGTGCCCTACTTTGACCAAAGGGCCGAGCTTGTAGGCTGGGGCGTAGGTTAAGACCCATAACCCGTTCTTGCTCAATTGGCAAGCGAAAATATATACAACACATATGAAAAAGAATACAATTCGTAGAGAAGAGTTGATTCCATTGGTACTTGGAAAATTGTAATCACATTCGAAAGATGTTCAAGTCATTACATTACTGATAGTATTTCTTCAAGTTGCAACTTTCCAAGGACAAAAGAATGGGTTTGCCTGCTAGGTCAGCCAGGTAGTAAGCTCGATTGCCCAAGACTAAGGTGACTTTGTAGGGCCCTTCCTAGTTAGGGTCGAGCTTCCCTTCACTAGGGGCTTTCTTATGATCAATGACTTTCCTTAGCACCAGCTCCCCGGGTTAAAATTGCCTAACTAACACATTTTATTGAAACTTCTGGTAGGTTGCCAGACAAATGATGGTGGACTCTTTGTGTTTCTCTGTAGGGTCAAGAGCTTGGGCGATGGCCTCATCATTATTTGCTGGTTCAAAGATTTCTGACCGAATTGTAGGAAGATTGACTTCCAAGGGAATGCTGGCCACCATTCCATAGGTGAGAGAGTAGGGCGTCTCTCTTGTTGATTGGTGTAGTTATGTATGCCTATAAGACATTTGGCAATTTTTCCACCCATTTGCCATTGGCCTTTTCTAGCCATTTTTTTTTTTATCTCATTGACGATCGTCTTGTTAGATGCTTCAGCTAAACCGTTGCCTTGCGGGTAGACTGGAGTATAGTTTCTGAACTCAATTTCAAGTCAGAGTAGAACTTCTTGAAAATCTTCCCATAAAACTGGGTGCCATTGTCAGAGAGTAAGACCCTTGGGATACCAACCCAAGTAATGACATTCCTCCATATGAACCTTTTCATGTCAGCTTCCTTGATACATGCTAAGGCTTCAATCTCCACCCACTTAGTGAAGTAATTGGTGGCAGCAACGAAGAACCTTTTGTTGGCAGTACCCTTTGCTAGAGGTCCAACGATGTCCAAACCCCACTGTGTAAATGGCCACGAGCTAGTAAGGGAAGTTAGGTACTTGGCTGGTTGATAAATAAGTGGAGCAAATCTTTGGCACTTGTCGTATTGTCGGACATACTGTTGGGTGTCTTTCTGCATACGCGGCTATGAGTGAGGGCTTGGTGTGCCAAGGGCCGACCTCCAGTGTGACTGCTACAAATCCCCTCATGGATTTCATAGAGCAAATTCTCTACAAGGTTGGGATGAACACAAAGAAGATACGGGTTGAAATAAGACTTCTTGTAGAGCTTACTCGAGGGTGAGATCCAAAATCACGTAGCTCAGTGCCTTATTTTATGTGCTTATTTCTTGTCATCTAAGAGGGTACCTTTTTTTAGGAAGGCAATGAGAGGGTCCATCCAGCTCAGATCGAGGTCAGTATAGAGAACTGAGTTGGGTGGACTGACAGTTGGTTGAGGAACATACTTGACCCATATCTTGCAGTCACTTCTGAAATCCACCAAGGAGCCA